TAATAAAGAGGTGAATGAATCAAGAGGACATAGTAATCTTAAACATTTATGTACTAGTTGTAATTTCAAAAATATAAAGTGAAAATGAAATAAATGCAGGGCAAAACAAATGAATGCATAATATAGGAGATTTCAATATCATTTTTACAGTAAGTGACAGCAATAGAAAGATTAGGAAAGACATCACTTGAACAACACTACCAATAAGCATGACCTAGTTGACATGTACAGAACATATCGCCTAACAACAGAATACACCTCTCTATAAAGCACTTAAAACTAACAGGATATATTATATCTAAACCATAAGATAAGAAAAAATTACAAAGATTTAAGTCTTCCAAAATATGTTCTCCAGGCACAATGAATTAAATTAGAAACAAAGAAAAAAAAAAGCATATTGAAAATTCCAAATACTTGGAAGTTAAATAACATACCTCTCAATTACCCATGGGTCAAAGAAATAAACATGGTAGATGTACTCTGAACTGAATGAAAAGAAGCTTACATGTCAAAACTTGAGGGATGCCATGAAAGCAATATTTGTATGAAAATACAGAACATTAATCTGCTGTATTAGAAAAGATACCATGTCAACTACATCAACTTTAACATTAAACAGGAAAAAAGCAAACTAAATACAAAGCAGAACATTAGAACAGCAGAAATCAATAAAATGGGAAATGGAAAACAGAAAACTCAATGAAGCCAAAAGCTGATTATTTAAGTTAACAAAATCAATGTATTTCTAGCCAGACGGATAAGGGAAAAGAGAAGACACTAATTATCAGTATCAGGAATGAGAGAGGTGACATCACTACAGATTCTACATATTAAAAATATAAAAATGTAATACAATTTTTTTAAACAACCCTACAAATTAGTTTAGCAACTTTGATGAAAAAGTTTAGCAACTTTGATGAAACAGACTAATTCTATGAAAACAAAATTGCCAAAGCTCACTCAAAAGGAAAAGGATAATCTGAATAGTCCTATATCTATTCAATAAATTGAATGTGTAGTTTAAAACCTTCCCACAAAAACAGCAAACCCATACAGCTTCACTGATGAACTGTACCAAACATTTAAGAAAAAAATGTCATTTGAGGTATTTAATTTCAGCAACAAAGTAAGAATGCTTGCTCTCCTTATTTAAACACTGCACTAGATGCCTTCTCATACTTAGTGACTGAACAACTAAATGCCATAGGTAAGAAAAAGAAAAGACATCCAGATAGAAAATATGATAAACAGTGTACACAGAAATGATGGCATCCACCAAAAAGCTGTACACTGTAATAAAAATGTCTGGCAAATGTGCAAAATACAAAAACAATGGGTAAAAATAGTATTTCTATATATTAATAACAAATGAACATTTTTTTAAATTACTTAGAATAGCACCCAAAAAAAATACAAAATAAGGATAAATCTGAGTAAAACAAACAAACAAACAAAATCTGTATAGTGAAAACTAAAAACACTGCTCCAAAAAGTAAAAGAATGAATTAAATGTTAAAATAATTTGTGTTCAAGGGTGAAAAAAATCAACAATAAGACGTTAATTTTCCCCAAATTGCTCTACTGATTCAAGTTAATTTCAATTAAATTCCAGCAGGCCTTTCTGTAGAAACTGACTCATGGGAAAATGTAAAGGACCCAGAAGAGCCAAAACAACTTTTAAAAGAACAAAGTTCTACTTTATTTCAAGATTTGATATAAAACTACAGTAATTAAGACAGTACATTTTTGGCTACTAAATAGACAAAAACGGGTCAATGGAAAAGAATATATAATAGACACAGAATCATATGTAGATACATAACTGTTTTTGACTAAGATGCACAGTCAATTCAATAGAAAAAAAGTCTTTTCAACAAATCATGCTAAAAAAAGTGAATGTCCACATTCAAATCCAAAAAATCTTGATTCATACATTGTATCATATTAAAAACAGTTAAAAAGAACTTAAATGTAAAACTAAAAACTATGAAATCTATCAGAAAACAAAGGAGAGAGAGAAATCTTCATGACCTGGAGTTTCACAAGGATGGCCTGTTTTTGTTCCTTAGTCGCTAAGTCTCTTCAGACTCTTGTGACTCCATGGACTGCAACCCACCAGGCTCCTCTGTCCATGGTATTTCCCAAGGAAACATACTAGAGTGGTTGCCATTTCCTTCTCCAGGGAACCTTCCTCACCCAGGGACTGAACCTGTACCTCCTGCACTGCAGGCGGCTTCTTTACCCCGATGCCCTGGGAAGCCCTCCAGATGACTGAGATGTGACCAAAAGCATGAGTCACACCAACAAACACCTGGTAAACTTAAATTCATCAGAATTAAAAATGCTATTTTTCAAAATACTGTTGAGAGAATCAAAGCAAAAAAGGCAGAAAATACTGTAAACCATGTATCTGATAAAGAACTTGTAACCAGAATGTAGACTTCTCAAAACTTAAGGAAATAAATCAATCTGAAAAGTGGACACTTAAACAGACTTAACCAATGACATACAGCTTGCAAAAAAGTCCATGAAAAAATGTTCAACACCAGAGACACTAAAAAAATGAAAAATAAAACCACAAAGAGATTACCAGTTCACATCCATGAGACTATCTACAATTAAGAAAAAAACAGTAACAAGCACTAGAGAGGATGCAGATGGAGGACGCAACCAGCAGTAAACTGGTAGCAACGTAAAAATTTAACCACTTTGGAAAACTGCAATTTGTTAAAAAGTTAAACATTTGCCTAACTATATCATCTAGCCATTCTAATTATAGGTATTTCCTCAAGAGAAATGAAAGCATTTGTTCACAAAAAGACGTGCATTGGAATGTTCACAGAAACTTTATTTATAATAGACCCAAACTGGAAACAATCCAAATGTCCCTCAAGAGCTGTGTGGATAAACGAACTGCTGTATGTCTGTACAATGTAGTACTACTAAGCAATAAAAAGGAATCAACTATTGATAAACAACATGAGTGAAATTCCAATATAATAATGCTGAGTGGAATGATCCAGGGAAAAAGAGGATACGTACTGTATGACTCTTTGTTTAAAATTCTAAAAACTGCAAACTAACCTACAGTGACAGCAGATCCAGGGTTGGTTGGGGAAAGAAAGGCAGAAGGGAAGAATTACTAAGGGGCAAAATGATACTCCTGGGGTTCATTATCCTGATAGCAGTGGTTCATAGGTGTATATATGTCAAAACACTGTATGCCTTAAATATAGGTGGTTTATCTCAAATTATATCTCAATAAAGCTTTTTTTTTAAGGCACAATATGGGCCAGTACACATGGCATAAATCCATTTGTGTAACTAAACAAGGATGTTTGTATGTGGTAATATGTAAACTAGTAAGTTCAGGAAAAAAAAAATGCACCAAAAAAATTTTAACGTAATTACCTACACCTAAGAAAAAGGACTGGAAATCAGGGAGAAATATTTTTCACTTGAATTTTTTTTAACTACACACATGTATTACTTTTTTAATTTCATGAAAACTTAATTACTTGCACATAAATCTGATGCCAAAGGAAAAATTCTTAACCATTATCCTAGCAGATTATAAAAATACAACTTCAGTTATCAAAACTTTTATATTAAACATTAGACCCAAAAAAGGCTAGTAACCACATTAACCATTTTCTAACATTCCCTCTTCAAACTACTAATGTAGAAAACTGCCAATAAACTACATCTGAACATCCTCTTCCAAGCATCTTCATTTCTTTCTGCTTGTTCTAGGTTTTGTGAATTCCTTTTCTCCCTATCCAGTAATTGACAACTCAAACTTGCATCATTTATATTCTTTTTAAAAATTCACTTCCAGAAGATATGCCTGGATGGTTACTACATCTGACCCTCTTAACTTAGAAAATAGCATTGCTGAATAAAAATAAGTACACCTTCCCACAAAAAGTTCATTACTTCTCCCTTAATCTACATAATATGAACTTAACAGATAAGGCAAAATAGTACAGTGTGGACTTTAATTTACTAGAGAGGACAGAAAATAAGCAAGAAAACACAAAATATCTCCAACTGTTCTAAAGAATATCACATTGTTATTGATGAAATTTTAAGAATTCCAAAAATTATTTAGAATAGTCAGGCATAACTGGACTCTCAAGAGCAAACTGCCTCTCTTGACCACTCACACTTGAAGGAGGTAAATGTCTTGCATCCAACAAGTATTTGAGATCTAGGCTTGGAAGACATTTTGCCAAGCTTGGAAAATTAAAGATTTAAGAATCATGCCCTAACAGGGCAGAAAGGTTTACAAACGGAAATTTGTAATACATCCCAATGTTAAAATGTACAAGGATTCAAGGAAATGAAAGGCCTAAGCACTACATCTAAGGTTTAAAGTATGAATAGTTTTTCTGGCCAAAGTGAGTGAGGCCAAGATTCTAAACAATCTCTACTGTAAGGACTAACTTTCTTTAATAGACACACAAACCAACTCTATAACTTCTGACTCAAATTTGAAGCGAACTGCCTGAAGAAGTTTATTTTCTTTAAAAATCAGGGTAACTGATATCTAATGAAGCTTATTACTGGTGAAAATATCTCAAGACTTCATAACAGAAAAGCGGGGTGAAAAAAATCTTTTATTACTATAATTGTATCATTTAGGTCAAATCACTTATTTGTCCATTTAAAACCATAATTTCCCCTCAGAAAATTGGGTTATCATTTTATATTTACAAGAAGCCATGTCTGAAATCTTTTTCAATTCCTTGAACACCATTCATACTTTAAAATGTTATTCTCAGAGACTGCTTTGCTAGGAAATTTATGGTTGTCTATTTAGGTTAAAACTACTAATATAAACCAATTTTAAAAATTCAACAAATACTTTCCACTTGAATTTTTGTAAGCTATATTATAGTTTTCAAAAGTCAACAGAAAGTTTCCATTAATGATGATAATACACTGAGTAGATCGAGGAACCCAGTTTTCATTAATTTTAAACACTGTTTTCCTACCTTTACGCCAACTGCAACCTCAGTGACAATTCTGTAAAACAAACAAACAAAAAGCTTCAACCTCTAGTTCTTCAAATGGTCATTGCTTGACTGAAACTTTTTATGATTGTTCATCATTCACAAATCTTCCACTCAAAATGCAGATGGAAAACACACACAAAGATGGTCAGTGGAACATTATCAACTTGGCTTTCTAGAAATGACTTTCAAACGCGTGAGGAAACTCAGTTTCGGTATTTTTAAAATTTCAAATAGCAAAAAGAACAAAATCCCAAAGCCTACATAATGTCCCGCTACACTTAGGTTAGCAATTTAAAACTTAATTCAACTCTTTAGTAATCTTAATAGGATGAGGAAACATGAAATTCAGTACAAATTTTCCCATCTATTTCCATGTGGATCTGGGGAAAACAGGGAAATCTGGATGTTTCATTTAGAAAATAATCTTTAGAGAACCTCTAGGATGACTCAAATTTCGTTAGTCTGTTAACTTTTATTAGATCTGCACTTGGGATCTTTAAAAAAACATCGAAATCCAGATGCTTAAAAAAACCTCGTATTTTAACTTCTGACCTTTCAAATACAGTCAGATACCAATAAAAGATACTGTTTTCCTATGCTCCCAAACGGGCTGAATACGGTTATATTTCGCCCTAAAGGGTGCCTTCTTTAACAATGAGTTAAATTATTAGTCTTTTCAGGTGTGGAACCTTAAGTACCAGGGAGACCCTGGCCCCGTATCATTTCCCTCACCTCACTTACTTAGCATTCTATCTCCAGCCTCAAAGGTGCAGATGGTTCTGGCTTTTTAAGAGTTTTGTTTTTCCAGAAACTGATCAAAGTAGCTGAAAGGATGGCCCTGTGTTGACTATCTGCTCTTCTTCCTGCCACAGCTCTTAGCCTTTGCCCATGTGACTGATGTCCACTACAAACACTTCGTATTTGAGATGATTTAATTTCTGGGCCCTTCTGCCAAGCCTTCAACGGTCTTAGGCCGCAGAGAACGGCATTTTTCAGCCTCCCGCCCCCACTAGCAGACTCCAGTGAAAACAAAGGAGTGTGACATCTGCCCTCCCCCTTCCTCCCGCCGCCGCACGCCTCCCCGCCCCCCTTCCCCCGCGGCTCCCACTTAGCTTTCCCCGGAGCTCCCGCCACCGGCATCTCCCCCAGCCAGGGCGGGCCAGGCGTGGCCAAAAAGGCCTGGGACTTCTAAGGAGGGGGTCCAGGGGGCCCTCTCTTCTCTCAGCGGGGAGCACCCCCCCCCCAACGTAGGCCTCGCTCTCCGCCCGCTTCACTCGCTCCCACCAGAGCCGCTCGTCCGGGGTCCGGGTCCCCGGTTACGGATCGAAATGGCTCCTAGAGGGGGGAAGGGCCGGGAGAGACGTTCTGGGGCCCCCACCCCATCCCTCGCCGCCCCTCCAAGACCCGCTGCTTCTCCGGGGTCGTCGCCCCAATGCCGGCCAAGCCTACGAGTCCGCTTTCTTCCCGTTTTCTCGACCTGAGCCCGCCGGAGGAAGCCCAGGGAGGGGTGTGTGCGATGGGGCGGGGGTTGGGTAACGGCAGCCCAGCCCTGGGAGGGGCCGCCAGAGGGTTTCTGCCCTACCCCGGACGAGGCCACAAGCGGGCCCCACTCCCCTCTCACACACCACCTGGCCAACCCCGTTACCTACCCGTCCATTGCCGAACCGAACAAAGCTTCGCTCACAAGAACCGAGCCACGCAGCCGGCGAGACACACAAGCGGAGAGAAAATGGCGGCTAGAGCCCGACGGAAATTGCCGAAGGTGCCGGAGCGCACGGGGCAGCGCGTGGCAGCGGCGGCGGCGGAAAGAGCCGAGCGCGCCGGCGCCCGGCTGCGGGCGGTGAGCGGCGGGGCGCGGGGACGACGGGGAGGGGGCGCCGCCGCAGTGGCCTCCTACGCGCCGCCGCGCGCCTGGGGCCCTCCGCCCTTTGCGCTCTGGGCCTCGGCCTGTTGCTGAGCAGCGTGGCTTGCTTGATTTCTAGTGTACGTTCCTGCCCGAAGTCCCTATTGCCCTGAGAGGGCACCCAGCCCTCCACACCCACTGCCCTGGACCTCGGGAGGGTGTTCCCTGGACCTCAGGACTGCCCAAAGACCTCTTCCACTTTTCCCTCCAAAGCAGGTCCCAGTTTGGCTACCCTCGACTTACATGGGCCCAGAAAAAAACTATTTCATAGCTTTTTTCTTTTTTTACTATGCCATCTTTTATTAACAGACTTCTCCATCCTTTCAAAACCCAAAACCAAAAGAAACTTTATCCCATTAACCAAGACCACTGCTCAATGAAAACAGTGCTTCTGAAGCAAGTAGACATTGGATGGAAACATAGGCCTTTGCTTCGGAACACTTGCAGTTCCAAGTGGAGGAAGACATAATTCTCACCTCACTCAGCTGATGATTAGTGGGCACCTGTAGGAAATATTCACAATACCTGGATGGAAAAGAACACAGGTTGAGAGATGTATTAAAAAGTTGGTAAGAAATCTGCTACCAACAGTAAGATCTACCATTTGGGGGCTTGAAAGAGCAAGTGGGGATGGAAGTACTAGCTCCATCTTTACCATTGGTTAAAGATGGAAGAAACACTACGATGGGCTACTCAAATTGACTCCCTTTTCTAGCTCTCTCACCGGTATCCTTTTAAATTTTAAAAGCATATTGGACAATTCCTTTAAAGTGTTTTTATCAGAGGCTCAACGTTTGAAAAGGCATCCGTTTTTGAAAAATTTGCTCAGTGGGCGACTTTTCTCTATCCTCCGTCCTTCCCCTGCAACCACAACACACACATAGGCACACTTCTAATCCCGGGAATTGAAAAATATTCTCTTTGTCTCTCCAGTTACTCTCAGTGACTACTCTGGGTTTTCCTGTATCGCCTTCATACAAACCTCTTATCCTTTTACTATTTGGAATTTTACTGTACTAAATATACTTTATGATTCATGAAATTACATTGTTTTTAACTTGAACAAAACTTACAGAACATCTGGTCCAAATAGAACTCTTCAAAGCACTCAAATGTTAAAAATTCTTGATTTGCTTCAGGGATTAGAATTTCTTAAAAAAAAAAAAAACCGTTATTTCCTACAGTGTCTTCCCTTTGCTTTTAACATTAACTTATGATACATAGAGGACCCATTATCAGTGCCATTAATAATCACTTTTCAAACGTTTGTGGTTTTGAACATGTATTTTCACTCAACAATTAAATTTGTAAGCTCCCAAAGGGCAGGAACTCCACCATAATTCTCTTTATTCCCCTACAGTGACTCAATCAATGTTGATTCATTAGCTCTTGTTTTATCTTGGGAAAGACAAACTGCTCCACCAAAGGAAACCTGTCCTTAGGTGGCAAAACAAACAAAAAAACTTTACCCTATTAACCAAGTCTAAACTATAATATTCACAAAAACGTGTTTTTCTTTTTTTTTCCTCCTAATAAAATACAAGACTATGAACAGACAATAGTCAGTGTGCTTACTTATTTAAACCCATCACTTTCTAGAAAAAAATTAAGTTTCCTTACAAGACACAAAAAGTAGTAGGTAAAATATATAAAGTGAAATAAAGAAATAAAAGGATGATACAACATAAAACCAGAAGTGAGACTAATGCAACAACTATATCATAAAAGCATGCTGATTAAAGATTGGATTCAAATCAGAGCTCTTTTCATTTAGTAGATGTGTGACACTAGACATGTTCATTAACCTCTCAAGGAAAAAGTTTCATTTACTGAAGTTAATGGGATTTCCTCTACTGTAAATAAAAATGGGATTAAAAATAAGCCCTTCCTCCCAGATGACTGACCTTAAAAAGTCCTAATGTATGTAAAGCAGAACTCTAGCTCACTAGAGCACATAGTAAATGCTCAATAAAGGAATAAAGGGTTCTATCATCATCCTATTTTGTTGTTGTTGTTGTTGTTACTAAGTATTATTATTCACTTGAGAAGGAACAGGTTGCAAATTTTTGGCCCTTGGATTTTTTAGCACCAATAATATTCATATAAATAAACCTATATAAAGAATTTCACAAAGGTTAAACACATCACTAACATAATTAGATTAGCTGATATCTAGTGGAATAAATCTGGGAAAATGTCATAGATAAATTTCTAAAACCTCATCCAAATCGAGATTTGTGTGATTTTATGAGTTAACCATGGCGGAGATTATTAATCTCAACATTAGCAGATGATCAATGTTTGTAATACATGACAAGACTATATTAGTGTTTATGACTTCCTAACAAAATCAGGCAATAAAAATTGAAGTGCCTATACAGTATTATTTTCATTTCAATATCTTTTTTCAGTATAATGATTTGTTCTTTCTCCTCTGAGTGGTAAATGTTTTGACCTTTTACAGAGATTTACACCTATGTGAACAATGATTAAATCTAAATTTCAGTGTATGTTAAGTCAAAATGAAGTCTAATATTGATGCAATAAAAATAGGAGATAGGATCTTTTCATAATATTCTGATTTTATTCCTAGCTTTACATCTTTCCTGCCTATATTACTAAAGACTTCCTTTAACTTTTTTATGCTGCTTTTCTTCTTATGAAAAGAGGAAGTAATTATAGATAGGGTCAATTAGATAATTCTGGGGGAGTATGTATTTTTAGGCTAATGGAAATATTCTAAAAGTAAATTGTGGTGATAGTTATACAATATACTAAATATAAAAAAATTCATTGAATTATATACTTAATACTGATGATTTTCATAATATGTAAATTGTATATCAGTAAATCTGTCAACCAAAAAAAGCACATATCTTTAGCTACTGAGGAAACCCATCCTACCAGTTTACTGGTATATTCTTCCACATATATTTTAATGTATAAATTGATTACATACAGAGTTACATAGGTTTTGTTACAAAGTAGTAACCATAGTACACATTGTCCTATAACTTATTTTTTAACTTAAAAATATATTTTAGAGATCTGTCCTTATCAGTAACCACATTAAGAACTATTTTATTCTTTATATATGTCAACGTGCAGGCTCATTTCCTCAGTCGTGTCTAAGATTCCTTGCAACCCTATGGACTATAGCCCACCAGATTCCACTGTTCATGGGATTTCCCAGGCGAGAATACTGGGTAGGTTGCCATTTCCTTCTCCAGGGGACCTTCTCAGCCCAGGGATCAAACACATGTCTCCTGCTTTGGCAGGCAGTTTTTCTTTACCACTGAGCCACCAGGGAAGCCCCCATTCTTTATATATAACTGCATAATATTCCATCAAAGAAGAATAATGATTTATTTAACTAGAACTCATAGATAATACTTATGTTGCCTCCAATCTTGCTATTTACAAACAATTTTGTGATGAATATTCCTATTTCTAGGTCATTTTTCACATGTATGAATATATCTTCTGGATAGATACTATAAATTTCTGGGTAGAATGCAATTTTTATTTTAAAAGATCCTATCAAATTACCTTCCAGGTCCTTGAGTCCTTGCTGGAAAATATTACCAATTCTTATCATTAAAAAGGGCTGATATCTCTAATATACAAGGAGTTCCTAAAAATAAAAAATCAAAGTCTAACAACCAAATTTTAAAAATGGGAAAGCATATGAATGGAATATTAACAAACATCATAGGAAAGTAAAAGCAAAAATTATAAATCCTCAGCCTCACTTATAATAAGAAACATCCAAAGTAAAACTGTCCTAATGTACTAATTTCACCTGTCAATGCCCACCTCCCTCCTTCACCTCAGGCAAATATCACACAAAGCTGAGTACTGAAAGGATTCCTTTCCAAAGTATCAATTGTGAAAGTAGAATAAAGATACCTCTAGATATCAGTTCAGTTCAGTTCAGTTGCTCAGTCCGACTCTTTGCAACCCATGGACTACAGCATGCCAGGCTTCCCTGTTCACCAACTCCCAGAGCTTGCTCAAACTCATGTCCGTCAAGTCAGTGATGCCATCCAACTATCTCATCCTCTGTTGTCCCCTTTTCTTCCTGCCTTCAATCTTTCCCAGAATCAGGGTCTTTTCCAATGAGTCATTTCTTTGTATCAGGTGGCCAAAGTATTGGACTTTCAGCTTCAGCATCAGTCCTTCTGATGAATACTCAGGACTGATTTCCTTTAGGATTGACTGGTTGGATCTCCTTGCAGGCCAAGGGATTCTCAAGAGTCTTCTCCAATACCACAGTTCAAAAGCATCAATTCTTCAGGGCTCAGCTTTCTCTATAGTCCAACTCTCACATCCATACATGACTACTGGAAAAATCATAACTTTGGCTAGATGGATCTCTGTTGGCAAAGTAATGTCTCTGCTTTTTAATATGCTGTCTAGGTTGGTCATAGCTTCTTTCAAGGAGCAACTATCTTTTAATTTCATGGTTGCAGTCACCATCTGCAGTGATTTTGGAGCTCAAGAAAATAAAGTCTGTCACTGTTTTCATTGTTTCCCCTTCTGTTTGCCATGAAATGATGAGACTGGATGCCATGATCTTCATTTTTGGATTGTTGAGTTTTAAGCCAGCTTTTCACTCTCTTTCACTTTCATCAAGAGGCTTTTTAGTTCTTCTTCATTTTCTGCCATAAGGGTGGTGTCATCTGTGTATCTGAGGTTATTGATATTTCTTCTGGCAATCTTGATTCCAGCTTGTGCTTCATCCAGCCTGGCATTTCTCATGATGTACTCTGCATGTAAGTTAAAAAGCAGGGTGATAATATACAGCCGTGACGTACTCCTTTCCCAATTTGGAACCAGTCTGGTGTTCCATGTCCGGTTCTAACTCTTTCTTCTGACCTGCAGCCTTTCCCTTCTGTAGGGGATCTTCCCAACCCAGGGATCAAACCCAGGTCTCCAAAATTGCAGGTGGATTCTCTACCAGCTGAGCCACCAGGGAAATCCACCTCTGGATATACTACATGTCAAAAAGTTTATTCCCTACACACTTTTAATTCATCAGTCTTCTGGAAGAC